CGTGGGTGTCTGGCTCTCTGAGCGTGGGTGTCTGGCTCTCTGAGCGTGGGTGTCTGGCTCTCTGAGCGTGGGTGTCTGGCTCTCTGAGCGTGGGTGTCTGGCTCTCTGAGCGTGGGTGTCTGGCTCTCTGAGCGTGGGTGTCTGGCTCTCTGAGCGTGGGTGTCTGGCTCTCTGAGCGTGGGTGTCTGGCTCTCTGAGCGTGGGTGTCTGGCTCTCTGAGCGTGGGTGTCTGGCTCTCTGAGCGTGGGTGTCTGGCTCTCTGAGCGTGGGTGTCTGGCTCTCTGAGCGTGGGTGTCTGGCTCTCTGAGCGTGGGTGTCTGGCTCTCTGAGCGTGGGTGTCTGGCTCTCTGAGCGTGGGTGTCTGGCTCTCTGAGCGTGGGTGTCTGGCTCTCTGAGCGTGGGTGTCTGGCTCTCTGAGCGTGGGTGTCTGGCTCTCTGAGCGTGGGTGTCTGGCTCTCTGAGCGTGGTGTCTGGCTCTCTGAGCGTGGGTGTCTGGCTCTCTGAGCGTGGGTGTCTGGCTCTCTGAGCGTGGGTGTCTGGCTCTCTGAGCGTGGGTGTCTGGCTCTCTGAGCGTGGGTGTCTGGCTCTCTGAGCGTGGGTGTCTGGCTCTCTGAGCGTGGGTGTCTGGCTCTCTGAGCGTGCGTGTCTGGCTCTCTGAGCGTGCGTGTCTGGCTCTCTGAGCGTGCGTGTCTGGCTCTCTGAGCGTGCGTGTCTGGCTCTCTGAGCGTGCGTGTCTGGCTCTCTGAGCGTGCGTGTCTGGCTCTCTGAGCGTGAGTGTGTGTGTCTGGCTCTCTGAGAGTGAGTGTGTGTGTGTGTGTCTGGCTCTCTGAGAGTGAGTGTGTGTGTGTGTGTCTGGCTCTCTGAGAGTGAGTGTGTGTGTGTGTGTGTCTGGCTCTCTGAGAGTGAGTGTGTGTGTGTCTGGCTCTCTGAGAGTGCGTGTGTGTCTGGCTCTCTGAGAGTGCGTGTGTGTGTGTGTCTGGCTCTCTGAGTGTGTGTGTGTGTGTGTCTGGCTCTCTGAGTGTGTGTGTGTGTGTGTCTGGCTCTCTGAGAGTGTGTGTGTGTGTGTGTCTGGCTCTCTGAGAGTGTGTGTGTGTGTGTGTGTCTGGCTCTCTGAGAGTGTGTGTGTGTGTGTGTCTGGCTCTCTGAGAGTGTGTGTGTGTGTGTGTCTGGCTCTCTGAGAGTGTGTGTGTGTGTGTGTCTGGCTCTCTGAGAGTGTGTGTGTGTGTGCTGTCTGGCTCTCTGAGAGTGGTGTGTCTGGCTCTCTGAGAGTGCGTGTGTGTGTGTGTCTGGCTCTCTGAGAGTGTGTGTGTGTGTGTGTGTCTGGCTCTCTGAGAGTGTGTGTGTGTGTGTGTCTGGCTCTCTGAGAGTGTGTGTGTGTGTGTCTGGCTCTCTGAGAGTGCGTGTGTGTGTGTGTGTCTGGCTCTCTGAGAGTGCGTGCGTGTGTGTGTGTCTGGCTCTCTGAGAGTGCGTGCGTGTGTGTGTCTGGCTCTCTGAGAGTGCGTGTGTGTGTCTGGCTCTCTGAGAGTGGTTGTGTGTGTCTGGCTCTCTGAGAGTGCGTGCGTGTGTGTGTCTGGCTCTCTGAGAGTGGTTGTGTGTGTCTGGCTCTCTGAGAGTGCGTGTGTGTGTCTCTCTGTCTGGCTCGCTGAGAGTGTGTGTCTCTGTCTGGCTCTCTGAGAGTGTGTGTGTCTCTGTCTGGCTCTCTGTGTGTGTGTGTCTCTGTCAGGCTCTCTGTGTGTGTGTGTGTGTGTGTCTGTCTGGCTCTCTGAGTGCGTGTGTGTGTGTGTGTCTCTGCCTGGCTCTCTGAGTGTGTCTCTGCCTGGCTCTCTGAGAGTGTGTGTCTGGCTCTCTGAGAGTGTGTGTCTGGCTCTCTGAGAGTGTGTGTCTGGCTCTCTGAGAGTGTGTGTCTGGCTCTCTTGAGAGTCTGTGTCTGGCTCTCTGAGAGTCTGTGTCTGGCTCTCTGAAAGTCTGTGTCTGGCTCTCTGAGAGTCTGTGTCTGGCTCTCTGAGAGTGTGTGTGTGTCTGTGTCTGGCTCTCTGAGAGTGTGTGTGTGTCTGTGTCTGGCTCTCTGAGAGTGTGTGTGTCTGGCTCTCTGAGAGTGTGTGTGTCTGTCTGGCTCTCTGAGTGTGTGTGTGTGTGTGTGTGTGTCTCTCTCTCTGGGTCTCTGAGTTTGTGTGTATGTGTCTCTCTCTGGGTCTCTGAGTGTGTGCGTCTCTCTCTCTCTGGGTGTCTGCGTGTGTGTGCGTGTCTCTGTCTCTGTGTGTCTGTGTACGGTGCCGGCCCTGAGAGGCAGTGAACTCCGGAGGCCTTGCTGGTCCCCCCCCCACCCCCAAAAAATGGCCACCCAGGTTTTGTTAAAGAAGCAATAATTTTTTTTGCTGCTAAATGTGTTATTTCCTTATGTTTAGTTTTTACCAATTATGTGAAAAAAATGTATCTCAATAGCACCGATCAACCCCGCTATTTTCCTGCAAAATCTAACAAAGGCCTTCAATTCCCCGCAATATTTGTAAAGTACACCGCAATTTTTTGTAAACATGTCCGCACTTTTCAATTGGCCCAGGTTATAATCCTTCCATTTGACACTGTTAAAATTATGTTGAAATGTGTGCGCTCTTCAAATGGAATAGTCATTGAGATGTTGTGAGTGATTTCGTAGGGAAACACAGCAGCCATTTTGCTTACATCCATAAGACATATGACCAATTTAACTGGGGATTTATCATAATAATCCTTGCATTTGATATATACATCAATGAGACATTTCAAAGTGCTTCACAGAATATACTGTAAAGTGAATTGACTATGTATTTTGTGGGCAAAATTTGAACTAAACAAGCAAGGCGCTAGGCTATATTGCAAATCAGTTGAGTTCAGATCTGAAGAAGTCATATTCCAGTCACAGTTTGCAGTACATACAGTCCTGCTCCATCACATGCAACAACAACAAATCACATTTACGCATTGCCTTGAAGTGTACAACCAGATTGATCCACAGCTTTGGAGGGATGGATTTTGAGGAACAGCAAGATAAACTGAGGCTTCAGCCTTGTCCTGTACCAGTGCCTTGGGACGTCCTTGCGACATGAAAGCGCTATACAAATGTAATTTTGCATTATATTGGATTGTACCAAGCCAGTTCCCACCCTAGCCTCACACTCACAATTAAGTGCTAATCTGTATGGGATTATAAACAATTTGCTACTGTGAATTGACATTATTCATTCAAACCCAACTGAGTCAATGCCCTCAGGGTAGCCGAGAGCATCAGTCTGGCCTTCTGTGTTACAAAGGCAGCTGCATGACCTCTGCGATGTTAACAAAGTGCTATCTACCATTATCTTCTTCATCCAAAAGTAACATAATTTAAATTATGTTAGGACTGGTCAGTTGAATAAAGAGGATAACAACATGCATCTATAAGGTTCGGATGGAGGCTAGAGGAGATAGCTATGAGGCTAGAGAGTATAGAACCTTTTATGTTTATATGGAGAAGCTTGACGGGTGATATAAATGTGATGTTTAAGGTTTGAGAAGATGAGTGGTGATTGCAGCATGAAGTTAATCAATGAGGTGTCTCTGATGTTAGAACCGAGTCAACAGAAGTAACAGAGAGTTAGATAAGCACAGGAAGAGGATTGGAGGGAATCAGGAGAGATGACATGATTACAGGAGCAAATAGTGCCACTAATGCAATGGTTTGGAAAGCCTTCTGCTGTGTCAGGTTGCAGAGTGGTTCTACAGTTGGATGTTGATGTGACAGTCATTGTGACATGAAAGCTATGTGGATCAGTGCTATGCTGATGTCTTATTACATTAAAACACCATCGATCTACAAATATTTGCTAGTGCTTCACTTGTGTCACCCCCCATTTCTTCCAAATTCAAGCGGTGAGGGAGGAGTGCAGATAGTACACATTAAACCGTTTTTAAACTCAACTCAGTTCTCTTTCAGCTTTGGGAAGTGCATAAAATTGTACGGTAGGGTGTCAGGGTCCTGTCCTGTGGAATCTGGTTGGTCTACCCTGCGTGAAGGGTGCTATATAAATCCAAGTTGTTTTTGTTGCTCTTATTGCACTCTGTCACTGGCTTCCCCACCCAGAAATCCAGGGGTTCAGAATGTTGACTAGTTCTGACTACACCAGAACCACACACATTTCATATACATAATCAGTAACTTCCACAGGCAGGGTCATATCCTCATTGAAAACAATCAATTTCTCCATTTCTACTGTATATCCAGTAGCATTAAAAGGAGCTGAAGACTTTTGGGGGCGCAAAATTGACGGGAGGAATGCTCAGTTTTCATGCTGGATCAATCTGAGTTTATCTGTGAAACAAACCTGTCTGAGTGGAGAGAGGACATGGTCCCAAAGATTCCCATTAAAAATACTGTGACAGTAGAGCTCTACTATGAACTTTTTCCTTAGAACATTTTTTGACTGTGGTTTGGACAAGGACATTAACTTGCTCCATTGCTATTCTTCGTATTTAATAATAATCCTTGCATTTGATATAGCGCCTTATCACGGCTTCGAGACATCTCAAAGCTCTTCACTGAATATACTGTAAAACAAATTTACTGTTTATTTTGCAGGCGAAACGCAGCAGCCAATTGCGCACAGCAGTGTCCCACAAACAATCATGGATTGAGTGACCAGATTATTATTATTATTCCCTTAGCAAATTTTTCTACACATTAATCACAGCAGTTAAATCTAAACTAATCAGAATTCCTGGGTGTGACCCATTTGACCATACTGAGTAAGTTATCGGAGTCCAGCTTAGGCTTGCACATCCCTTTATAATGTAAAACACCAAGATCTTTCCACAGTTGTGTCTTCTTCAGTGTAAACAATGCACTGTAATATCTCATAATTAGACAAAATTTGTAAATCTTGGGCAAAACAGAGGCTTACATTCTAAAACACAGCCACTCTTAACTTGTTCCACTAACACTCAGTTAGCACACAGCCCACACTGAGCATGGTTGAGGACCTAACCTGTAGAAACACATCTTTTTCAGATCCTCCATGTAGACAGTACAGATGTTGATGAAAGGGTCGTGCCGCAAGGGGCTGGTGTCAGACAGTTGATCGTTCCACGAGTTCTGCCAGGGCTCCAAGTGATCCTCAATACTTTGTAAAATTGCCTTATCGTGAGGAGCTCCGATCTGAGCTCCGTTTTCCCAGTAAACCTAGTGGGCACAACAAACCACTGCCTATTTTTGTATTAAAAGCTGAAATCAGAATGAATGAGACAGTAGATTGTTGGCAAGTCTGTAACCAGGGGACCAAGACAAGTATAGTGACTAAAGGATCAAACAGAGAATTTAGAAGGAACTTCCTCACACAGAGGGTATTGAGAATGTGGACTTTGCTCCCCAAAGGTTGGTTGAATCAGATAGTATAAATGCATTTAAGAGAAGGCTAGATTGACACATGAGGGGTGGGGGGGAATATCAGAGGGAGTAAGCATGGATGGAGAATTATATGGAATATAAACATTAGGGTGGACTGGCTGGACCAAATGCCCCATTTTCACACTGTAAAGTCCATAGAACCATAGAGCACAGAAGAAGGCACAGAAGAAGTGTTACAGCACAGAAGAAGGCCATTCAGACCAAGATGTTTGTGCTGCTCTTTTCGGAGCAATCCTTTCAGTCCCATTGACCTCTCCTTTCCCCATAACCCTATAGCTGACTCATATTTAGATATCTAGTTCCCTTTTGAAGGCTAATATGGATTCTCCCTCAACCAGTGCTCCTAGCAGGACTTTCCATATCTTAACAACTCTGTGCATAAATAACATTTCTCCTAACCTCACCATTTGCTTGTTTACAAACTATCTTAATATGATGGTGTTACTGACACACTAATAATTCTTTCCAATTGACTATTAACCCCCCGCAGCATATTAAAGCCTTTTGTCACATCACCCCTCGACCTGCTTTGTTCCAACAGAAAAAGTCCTATTTCCTTCAGTCTCTGCTCATAGGCCACAACCACTCATCCCCAATATAATCCTGGTAAATCTCCTCTGTGCCCCTCTATCAGTTTCATGTCTTTCGGATGACCGAAATGGGACACAATAGTCTAACTGTGGTTTAACCATTTATATAAATTCAGCATTACCTCTTTGGTTTTATCTTCTATACCCTTATTTATAAAAGCTAGGATTCTATTTGTTTTCTTGACAACTTTGTCCACCTCATAAATAGGTAAGATTTGTAAATCTAGGGCAAAACAAAGGCTTACATTCTAAAACATAGCCATTCTGAACTTGTTCCACCAACACTCAGTTAGTACACAGCACACACCCAGCATGGTTGGGGACCTAACCTATAGAAACATCTTCCAATCTTTAAAGATAATAATAATAATCCTTGCATTTTGATATAACGCCTTATCACATCTTTGAGACGTCTCAAAGAATAGAATAGACAAAATGAATTGACTATATTTTGTGGATGAAATACAAAAAAAGTACATAAGTCCTTCTGCTCTTTCTTGCATTCCTTTGTACAGAATCATAATTTTACACCACAGGAAGCCATTCGGCCCATCGTGTCTGAGACGGCTCTTTGAAACAGTTACCAACTAGTCCCACTCTCCTGCTCTTACCCCATAACACTGCAAAATTCTTCCTTTTTAAGCTCCTCCCCTGCCTCCTTCAAGAACCATCTCAAGACCATCCTCTTCAACCATGCTTTCAATCACCCTGCTAAACAAATGCAATTTTGTTGTTGTTGTACCTATCCAATTCCCTTTTGAAAGCGATTATTGAATCTGCTTTCACCAACCTTTCAGGTAGTGCATTCCAGGCCGTAATTTTCTCTGGGTAGAAAAATCTCTCCTCGCCTCCCCTCTGGCTCTTTTGCCAATCATCTTAAATCTGTGTCCTTTGGTTACCGACCCATATGCCAGTGGAAACGGTTTCTCCTTATCTACTCAATCAAAACCCCTCTATTAAACCTTTTAATATAATGTCGCATAGTATACCTTGTATCCATTGTCTTCTTTGGGATTATGAGATGCAGTAATCATTACTCCAGTGGTAGCATGAAGCTTCCGAACTGCAAAGGGCTGCAAGAAATAAAGGTTGCCCAGGGCATGATCAGTAACATTCCAGCTTCTTCCCAACTGAAAATTGTTACAATATTAGGCTTAATATTTGAAGATTTAATGGAATTGTTGGAAAACTTAAACCCGGTCTTAATTTGGGAGACTTTTTTTTTAAAATGTCTCCTTTTTGATACTACAGAAAAAAAAATCAGTCTCCAGACACATTCTCAGGTTCTCTGGAACTCTTCCAATACCCCTTCCCTCTCTCCAACCCCTTATAAATCTCTTAAAATTAGATTATGAGCTCAAAATACCAAATTAGGGCTTGAACATACAACCTTCTGATTCAGAAGTGAGAGTGCTGCCAACTGAATCAGCCTCACACCATCTTTCATGTGAAAGGAACAACAGATTCCAATAATTTGGGAAACTCTTCCTGAAAAGCATAAGTCCAACATGAGACCAGTGTGATCTCAGGACTCCAGAGATACTGTGGAATCCTGTAGCTCAGTGGCTAGCACGCTTACCTCGCAAGTAAGAGGACTTGGGTTTAATTCCCAGCTGGGGCAAAACCTTAGGCATGTTTCCTTATTTACTCTACACACCTCAATTTATCTAGCAGTAAGTAGGAACTTGGTTGTTAGTCGATTGGTGGGTTACTTTCTGGAGGTAATAATTCCTTCAAAAAATAAAAGAATATGGTCTCTCAATACACGATTGTTTGTGGGACACTGCCGTGTGCTCCGAAGAGCTTCACTGAATATACTGCAAAGTGAATTGACTGTATATATTTTGTGGGTGAAAAGCGGCAATCGTTTGCACACATAGCCCACCAGGAAACTGGTAGTGAGTTCCTGGTACCTGCCATCCCCTGGTGAGGACTCAAACCTGCACTTGTCAGATGTCAAATGAACAACCAGTCACTGACCTCCTGGGGAATGGAGGTAAGTGGGGTCTCTTTGGAGCTGAACTGGAATCGTTCCAACTGTTTGTGGCAGTGTTGGTAACCTGAGCAGGCTGGTCCACAGTGCTCAGGGCACTGCTGATGACAGCCCAGCCAGCCTGGCTCATCGGCATGACCTGGAAGGACTCATCTCTAGGGTCAGATACTCTTCCCACTCAGTTCCTGTTAACCTTACAAACCAAAGCCCTACTGAGTACAGTGGTCTTAACAGGACAAGCAGCAATTCCATTTCAATATCTCTGGAATTTTCATGCATAAGTTGTATAAGTGAGATGCATGGAGCTCTGTTTGGTTTGGAGACTCTTGAGCACAATGATGGGTTTCTGCATGTGTCAGACACCTGGCTGACCAACACATTGGCCATGTTCACTGCTAGCACACACTTACCACAAAGGGAGTTGGCACATAGAGAGAAAATAGGTGAACAGGTATACACTTGTCAAGGAAAATGGCAGCAGTCAACTGTGCAAGTCTGTAAAATGATGGGGAAAGAGGAGAAAGAAATCACATTACCCAGAACGATTTAATCTGTTAGTTAGCATTGCACTAAAAGAACCTTTAAAACTTATCCAAACAGAAAGCAGCAACAACAACAAATTACATTTACACAGCACCTTTCACATCGGGAGGACATTCCAAAGCACTGGATAGTCAGGAATTTGGACACGAGCTGAGGGTTGGGACCACGAGGAGTGGAGGACAGGGAGAGTGGGGGTAGTAGGCTGACCGATGGCATGGTCAAAAAGGAGGGTCTTGAGATGTGCCTTTAAGGAGGGAGCAAGCAGAATTGACTGTGGGATGAAGGTGGGGCAGAGAGGCTGAAAGCCCACCGTCGATGGTGAGACACATTGGAAAAAGTAAGCAACAACAGATGAAGCTTAGCCACTAGAATTTTAAACCTAATCAGGAAACCAGGGTAGGGACAGCACTTTCTGCTGCCTTTTATCATTATTATTAGTTATCCTTGCATTTAATCAGCACTTTATAATAATAATACTTGCATTTGATATAGCGCTTTTCACGTCGGGAAGACGTCCCAAAGCGCTTCACAGAACACCTGTAAAGTGAATTGACTGTATATTTGTGGGCGAACGCGGCAGCCAATTGCACACAGCAATGTCCCACAAACAGTCGTAGATTGAAAATGACCAATTTATTATTGGTTTTGGAGGGATTATTATTAGGCTCTGTGTGGAGTAAGGAAACTTACCCAAGGTTTCGCCCTGCCTGGAATTGAACTCAGGTCTCTCGCTTGCAAAGCGAGTGCTCTAACCAATGAGCTACAGCACTCCACACTATCACATTGTTGTGACACCTAAAAGCATTTTCAAAGGATTTTACTATGAAATGCAGTGACTGTGGGTAAACGCAGAAACAAATTTGCTCACAGCAGTGTCTTACAAACAGACATGAAGTGAGTGACCATTTTTTTTAAATTAGGGTGATTGGCGCTCAAGGTACTGGGAGAAACTCCTTTCTCTTTTTGAATAGGGATATTTATTGTTCACCTGAAGAGGCAGATGGGACCTCAGTTTAACCCCTCATTTGAAGGTTGGACCTCGAGGAATGCAGGAGTTGTAATATGCAATATTGCAATTAATCTCCCAATCCAAGCCGACACTTCAGTGGGAGGAGGGGTGGAGCAAGCCCTGCATTGTCAGAGGCGTCATCCTTTGGATGAGACATTAAATCCAGCTCCCCCTCTGTGCCTGTTCAGGTGCACGTTAAAAATACCCATGGCACTACTCGAAAAGAGAAGGGACATATGTTTGGACATTTCTTTTGGGTGTAAATGTGGAATAAAGTATATTTTATTTAAAAGTAAGAGGCTCAAACTGGGGTCTGTTATCGCAGTTTTCCCACCCCGTTGTCTCCTCTCTCGGAGGAATGGTTAGAGTACTCACAAGCGAAAGGACTCGGGTTTGATTCCTGGGCGCGGCGAAACTTTAGGCAAGCTTCCTTACTCTACAGGCCACTGTTTATCTAGCAGTGAGTAGAAACAGTCGATTGGCGGATCACTTTCCGGGGGTGTTAATCAAAAATAAATGTGGTCGCTCCGTCCACAACAGTTTGTGGGACACTGCAGTGCACAATTGGCTGCGCATTTCGCACACAAAATATACAATCACTACACTTTACAGTATATTCTGTGAAGCCTTTGAAGACATCTCAATGATGTGATATGGTGCTACATCAAATTAAAGGATTGATATTATTAATTGTATTGTAAAACAACAAAGAGGTTCTTACTTCTTGCTGCTGCAACCGCTGGTCTCCTGAGCTCGAGTATCATATCCAACCACAACACCCCTCTGTTTCAGGTCTGTGAAGCAGCTCTCAAGATACTTCAATAAACCCTGTGGGAGGAGACATACACAAATCAAACAAAACATTCCATACGGGGAGCAACAGCTTGTTAAGTGACCAAACACATTCCAGAATAGACCTCAACTGCTATCTCTATTATCAATTCCAACTGGTTTGGAATAGGAACCAAATGTTGTCCAGAAATATCTGAATGGTGGGATCTTGCTTGTGCAAAATGGCTGTCAGCATTTACTGACCAAAATGAGTTTATGAGTTTATGCACTGGCTCCATAAAGGGTAAGCAGCCGGCGAATGGCTCGCAGGGTATCAAGTTAACATCATCGTCTCTGGTTCAGAAAAATTACTGACCTGAGACAATGGGACTGATCAGGCAGTATAAAAATGTCAAAGCCACAAAAATGAATGAACCAATGAACTATTGAGCAACAGACAGTTGGACAACGTGCTGTCCACACTATGCTGCTTGTTGATACAATGGACTATTGGAGCAGCATCTGTCCAAAGATGCACAAATTGCTGCTGAATCAACAACAACAAAATTACATTTGTACAGTGCCTTTCATGTCTGGAGGACGTCCCATTGAATTAAACCCTGAACATGGGGCAGGAGCAGTGAACTTGATAAAGTTCACATCAGTTTATTTGCCAGTTTGATCCCTGCTGTCCTCTTGCCTGCAGTCTACATTGTCAACTCAGAGCTCTCATTCTCTCAGGGACCCAACTGCCACCAATGCAAATAGTCAATAATAATAATAATAATCCTTGCATTTGATATAGCGCTTTTCACGTCGGGAGGACGTCCCAAAGCGCTTCACAGAACACACTGTAAAGTGAATTGACTGTATATTTGTGGGCGAACGCGGCAGCCAATTGCGCACAGCAATGTCCCACAAACAGTCGTAGATTGAAAATGACCAATTTATTATTGTTTTGTTTTTTGAAGGGATTATTATTAGGCTCTGTGTGGAGTAAGGAAACTTGCCCAAGGTTTCGCCCCGTCTGGAATTGAACTCAGGTCTCTCGCTTGCAAAGCGAGTGCTCTAACCACTGAGCTACAGGACTCCAATATGCCGGGAGACCTTCAACATCACTCTCCTACGGACCCTAAGGAGTGTTATCTCACCATCAAATGGGACATTAGAAGCTGATTTGAAAACCACTGGATAAAGTAAGTGGCTGAAAACAGGAATGAATGATAAGAGCAAAAGAAATGAACGGACAAAGATGAAAGTGCATATATTGGAACAGGAGCAGGCCATTCAGCCCCTCGAGCCTGTTCTGCCATTCTGTAAGATCATGGCTTGTCTGTACATTAACTCTAATTACACACGTTTGCTCCACATCCCTTGATATCCCGACCTAAGAAATATCTATCCATCCCAGTCTTGAAAATTTTAATGGATCCATCCTTTTGAGGGAGAGAGTTCCAGATTTCCACCCTTTGTGTGGAAAAACTGCCTCCTGATTTCACTCCTAAATGGCCTAGCTCTAATTTTAAAATTAAGATTATGCTCCCTTGTTCCAGATTCCCCCAACAGAGGAAATGATTTCTATTTTAATAAATTATTTATAAACGCAGATTGTTGAGATCCACTACAGCATTCAGCCAAGACGCTAGGAAATTTGGAATTGTAACTACACTGAATTTCTAATTTTTCAGAAATCATTTACAAGTATCTATAGAATAATTTACAACAGGGCATTTGGCTCATCTCACCCATGCCGGGGCTAGCTTCCCCAATTAATAATAATCCTTGCATTTGATATCACGTCTTTGAGACATCTCACAGGGCTTCACGGAATACACTGCAAAGTGGCGAGACGAGAATGTTGTGGGTGAAACTTAAACCATCTATTCTGTGGGAGAGTGAGTGGCTGCAGCGCGAACAAGCTGTGATCAGCAAATGGGTTTTATTCTCTGTTGTTCACATCAGCATTCAATATTCTAATTCTAATTTGCCCTCTTTGCATTTGTGCTGGTCCTGGCTCCGCACTGCAGCCATCGTCTATTTCACCATATCATTTGCAGTGTGGTTCCTCAAATAATTATCCAATTCATGGTGTCAGTCTCAATTGTGGTAAAGAATTCTATGTACTACTAATTTTCTGTAGAAAATGTTTCTAACTGTTCCACTGATAAGCCTGAGTCTCGTTACCAAGTAGTCAGCTCGAAATACTCTCATCAGAGTTTTGGACCTTGATTAAGACTCCCCTCAATCTTTGGCTGTGCCAAGGACCAAAAACTCTTTCCTCTCCCACGTTTCCTCCTCACTAAAATCGTTATGAAATGCTTTGAGGTATTACCCTACATCAAATGCAAGTAGTTGTTTTTCTCAGTTGAAACAACCTCAGGTCTCTATCAAGAGTGCATGTTGATGTGAACAACAGAGAACAATACCCAAGTATTGAAAGTGCAAAAGTTCAACCAACAAGTCAATCACAGAACTATACAACACAGAAGGAAGCTATTCGGCCCATCGTGTCGGTGCCGGCTCTTTGAAAAGTGCTATCCAATTCAACCCCACTCCCTGCTCTCCCCATACCCCTACAAACTTGTCCTCCCCAAATAATTATCTATGTTTCTCTTAAAAGTTGTTATTGAATCGGCTTCCACCACCCTTTCAGATAATGCATACCATATTCGAACAATAATTTTTCCTGGTTTACCTTATTGAATCCCCTGATAACTCTGAAAACTTCTATTAAGTCTCCTCTTAACCTTCTCTGCCCCAAGGAGAATAATCCTAGCTTCTCCAGCCTCTCCTGATAACTGAAGTCCCCCATCCTGGTCAATCTCTTTTTCACCCTCTCCAATGCCTTGACATCCTTCCTAAAGGATGTTGCCCAGAACTGACCACAGGCTCTGGCTGAGGCCTAACCAGTGGCTCATCACAACTTCCTGACTTTTGTATTCTATGCCCCCATTTATAAAGCCTAGTATCCTGTATGCTTTTTTTAAAAAAAAGAGCTTAATCTACCTGTCCTCCCACCTTCAAAGATTTACTTATATGAACCCCCAGGTGTCTCTGTTCCTTCACTCCCATCAGCTTATATTGCCTCTCCTCATCTTCCTCACAGAGTGCATCACTTTGCATTTCTCCATTCACGGCCTCGCTCCCTCCTCCCTCTCTGACCTAGTATCCCCCTACTTAGTTGCCCATAGCCTCCGTTCCTCTGGCTCCGGTCTGCTCCACATCCCCGCCCCAACCGCCCTACTATCGGTGGCCTTCAGCCTCTCAGCCCCAAGGCTCTGGAACTCCACCCCCCAGTGCCTTCGCCGCTTCCTCCCTTTCCTCCTTCAAGGCCGGTCTCAAGACCCTTCTCTTTGACCGTGCCTTCAGCTCCCCTCTCGGCTCTCTACCCCCTCCTCGCTCCCTCCCTTCCCTCCCCTCACCTTTTCCCCCCTTCTCGGGTCCCGACCCAACTGTCCAGCGGCTTGGGACGTCCTCCCGACGTGAAAGGCGCTCTATAAATGAAATCTTGTTGTTGTTAAACTTCATCTGCCATGTGTCTGCCCGTTTTACCAGTCTGTCTATGTCCTCTTGCAGTCTGCTACTATCCTCCTCACTGTTTACTACTTTTCCTCGCTTAGTACCTTCTGCAAACTTGGAAATTATACTCCCTATACCTAAGTCCAGGTCATTCATATAGATCAAAAACAGCAGTGGTCCCAATACTGATCCCTGGGGGACACCACTGCACACCTCTCTCCAGTCAGAAAAACAACCGTTCACCACTGTCTGCTATCGGTCTCCCAGCCAGTTCTGTATCTGCTGCCACTGTCCCTTTAATGCCGTGAGCTTCTATTTCTCTTACAAGTCTCTGATATTCAACTTTATCAAACGCCTTTTGAAAATCCATATAAACAACATCAAGTGTACTACCTTCATCCACTGTTACTTCATCTCTGTTACTTCATCAAAAAAACTTGATCAGGTTTGTTAGACATGATTTGCCTTTAACAAATCTTTGTGGGCTGTCCTTTATTAAAGTATATTTTTCTAAGTGAAAAATTATTCTGTCCCAGATTATAGTCTCTACAAGTTTCCACACTACAGACATTAGGCTGACTGGCCTGTAGTTCCCGCCTTTATCCTTCTGACCCTTTTTGTACAGGGAAGTAACATTTGCAACCCTCCAGATCCCAGTCGTAGCCAGAGCCTGTTATTTCCACCCTTAGTTCCCTCAGTAACCTAGGATGCATCCCATCCAGACTGGATGACTTATCTATCTTGAGCACCGACAACCTTGTTAGTACCTCTCAGTTTATTGGTGTCTTATCCAATTTCTCTATCCTCTCCTCCAATACTGTGGCATTGGCTGCATCTATTTCTTCTGTGAAGACAGATGCAAAGTACTCATTCAGTACATCAGCCACGTCCTCCGCCTCCACAAGAAGATTTTCTCTTTGGTCTCTAATTGGACCCATCCTACCTTTGACTAACCTTTTATCCTTTATATGATTATAAAATACCCTTTTGTGTTACCCACCAATAATAATAATCCTTGCATTTGATATAGCGCTTTTCACGTCGGGAGGACGTCCCAAAGCACTTCACAGAACACACTGTAAAGTGAATTGACTGTATATTTGTGGGCGAACGCGGCAGCCAATTGCGCACAGCAATGTCCCACAAACAGTCGTAGATTGAAAATGACCAATTTATTTTTGTTTTGTTTTTTGGAGGGATTATTATTAGGTGTGTGGAGTAAAGAAACTTGCCCAAAGTTTCGCCCTCTGCCTGGAATTGAACCCAGGTCTCTTGCTTGCAAAGCGAGTGCTCTAACCACTGAGCTACAGGACTCCAACTAACCTTTTCTCCTACAATCTGTTTGCCCCTCTTATTTCCTTTTTTAGTTCTCCTCTGTAATTCAGTATTCTATTTGATTATCTTCTGTGTTTTGGACCCGACATTTATCATAAGCCTCCTTTTTCTGTTTTATTTTAATCCCAATTCCTTATTCATCCAGGAGTTTGGATGCCCTACCTTTCCCCTTTGTGGGAATGTATTTGTTCTGTCCCCAAACT